AGGCAGAGATTGATAGTACTTAAGACCATTAAAAATAAATTTGTTAATCAAAGGGTGCACTTTCAGAAATGCTTTTGAGTATCTAAAATTAAGCTTAGCTTGCTCCTGCTCATAATGGATATTAACTGCCAAATGCTTCATCTGCAAATCCCGTCATCTTTTATCTCATCCCCAGATAGGACAAGAGCACATTTTGGAGAGAACTCAGTATTTCAGGGGACTTACTCTGTGCAGTTCCGGATACCTGTCACTGTTCTGAGAAGCCAACCTTCTAAACCAGGTAGAAATTCGGCTGAACGACGATTTCTCGGTTCCAGTGCTCAACAAGGAGAACCTGAGGCATTCCAGGAACCACGCCCCGCCCCTGCTCAGATAAGCCATCTCTTCAGCCCCAGCTACCAACCTTCCCCTCAGCCTGAGGCTCTTTCCTAGGAAAGGCCTACCTACCATTCCCCTCCCTCTTCGGACTCCTCCTTCTCCCTCCTCCACACACCTTGCCTTCTCCTTCTCCCTCCTCCACACACCTTCTATGAGATTTTGCCTCTTAGAAAAAAAGGCTACAGACTGGAGAAAGGTTGCATTCAATCTCAGATCCTTATTACTGGTCTGGGTTTATTGAATCAGGGAAAGTCATATGCTTCTGAAACAAGGAACACCCAGAGGTCACAAAACAAATCTTTCCTCTCCCCATCGAAAGGAGCCAAGACAGCTGAAGCCTCCATCGAAATTGCCGGGAAGGAGATTCAATAACCTCCTCTCATGTTCTAGTATTATCACCCAACCCTCACCGTTGCAAAAGCATTCCTTCCTTCTAACTTCTCTGCTTCTGCAACAAAAAACCCCGTTCACTCCGGTTAAATTCTCCAAAACAATGGAAAGCTCTTTCAGTTACTCCTAATTTGTTTTGGGCTACTTCAGAAAATAGTGCAGGAAGCTAAATCAAGTCCATGTGTTTACCATCTAAAATTTATATACAGTTTTACGATTTAGAACACAATTTGAAATATATTATCTTATTTGATTTACTCCTTTCAACAGCCCCGTGAGAGAGATGCAATAAATGTTATAATCCTCAAATGACACACTATGCTTGTGAACTGGAAAGCATTTCATATGAATGAGCTATTGCTTTACATATGGGGAAACCAGAGGCAGTATGTGACTTGCCCAAGGTCACACAGTTAAGGAGCATGCCAGGCTCAAACTAGAAACTCTTGGCTTAAATCTAGTACTTCTCTGTTTTGGTCCTCACATGAGCTAACTGCACAGAGAAAAGCTGTTTTATGTATTAAAATGTTAACCCATCTGGCCATCTCAAAACATTTGCCATGGAAAATGAGTCCAGTGGATATAGATGACAGTAGAATTCATCACTATTCCTGTAAAAATAATCCAGTATCATTACCTCTGCTTGCAAAATCAAACACATTTTTAGAAACCCTAGAGAAGAATATATATTAATGAACAATGGGCTGTTCATGGACAAAAGCTGAAAGGAATAAGAACAGGTATGTTTTAGTAACCCACTTTCCAGTAACAACTGATTAACACTAAAGATAAATAATAGTCACAAATACTCCATGTTTCTTTGAACCCAGGAATCACTCCCGAGAAGGGGTGAAAGACTCTGTCAAATAAATATTCCGAAGCCCTCTTTCCTCTGAGCCTCGGAATCTCTCTTCCATCGTGCTGCTGACCTCCTAGAAAATACTCGTCACCTGGAGAGCCTCCTCTAACCGACTTGAACTACATCTGAAGTTAATACATGAATGTAAAGTCTGAAAGTGAAGACTTTATACTTGCTGCCATGTTCGTTCATTCTAACATTCTCTTGTCGATATTTACTGAACACTTACAAGGCGCTAAGCTAGGCACGCAGGATATACCCGAGCAAACCAAACACAGCCTTTATGGAGCTTGTAGTCTAATGTTGCTGTTAAGTGGTTTTCAATGGTCTTAGAGACCTTTCCTAGCTCCCCAATTAGATTGCATGCTCTTTGTGAGCAAGAACTGCATGCTTTAATTTTCTAAGTCACTCTTATGGCATCTTACACTAAGCTCTCTACACAGCAAATTGATAAACTAAGAGAATCCTTAACTCCGTAAACAGGGCATTTACTTCCAACTCCATCCCTCCAGGATGATATAAGATTGTGAATTATTTACTTATTCATTTGTCCAACACGAATAAGTCTTTATTTATTCATTTTATTTTCCCAGGGAAAGGAGGGGACAGGAAAGGGTCAGTATATGTCACAAAATGATAGCAAAAAGAAGTACCTAACGCAGCAAAATCAACCATCATATGAACAGTCCCCAGTGATGGGGGTCATGAAAGTCCAAGGGGGGGCTCAGTCTCCTTCAGTTCAGGAATGCAGGGGAGGGACCAAGGAAAGAACCGGCAGGTACATGCTTTCCAACAGATGGCGAATTATTTAAAATCCACAGGGTCGGGAAACTGGGATGTCAAACAGTCCAACATAATGAATCTACAGCAAAAGGGGTAAGATCCAGCCAAGACCGGTTTGGCTCAGTGGATAGAGCGTCTGCCTGCGAACTGAAAGGTCCCAGGTTCGATTCCGGTCAAAGGGCATGTACCTTGGTTGCGGGCGCATCCCCAGTAGGGGGTGTGCAAGAGGCAGCTGATCGGTGACTCTCATTGATGTTTCTAACTCTATCCCTCTCTCTTCTTCTCTGTACAAAATCAATAAAATATATATTTTTTTACAAAGGTGTGGGGATGGGGGTAAAGATCCAAAGCAACTGGAGATAACTTATTTGAAGGGGGCAAAGGTCCCCGAACCGATCCTCTAATGGGGAAGGGATTCGGGACAGGAGTAAAAGTGAGGAGCACTCTCACTCTACAAAGCTGCATTACGCCGCAGGAGAAAATGGGGCTTTAACCACAGAATGATGAAGAGCATCTTACCCACTGCCCAAAGCAGAATGAAACGGCGCCCCGCTGCATAGAGAACTACTGAGACAGAGTGGGGCCATGGGAAGAGCCATGGATCCAGAATCAGAAGATCTGCGTTTGAGTCCAGGTTCTGCTGAGAGTCAGGCAAGATGGCACTGGGCAAGCCAGGAATCCTCTATGAGCCTCAATTTTACGCTGTAAGATGGAGTAATAACCTGATTTTTCTGCCTCGCAGAAATACTGTGAGGATCTAATGGCAGATGTTCCATGAGAGCACCGAGGAAACACACTGGGCTCTACAAACCCCGAGAGGACAGGGAGGATACACAAACTCCCGAGGAGCGTCTCTCCGCCCCGCAGCCCTCACTGCCTCCTCCTTGTATTCCCTCAACACGTAAGTTCCCATCTTCTCATATCCCCGAATTCAGAGGCGTCGTCCACCATCCACACCGCAAAAATGCAAATTCCAAGAGGAGGGAAAAGGGCAGCATGTAAACCATCTCAGCTCCTTGCCTTGACATGCCTGTTCTCCCTTTATAAGAGTCCAACTATGGAGTGTGGCTCAGTTGGTTGAGCGTTGCCCTAGCACGCCGAAAGGTCGCTGGTTCAATTCCCGGCCAGGGCACATACCCAGGTTGTGGGTTCAATGCCTGGTCAGGGACATGTGAGGTCAATGTTTCCCTCCCTCTCTCACTCTCATTCTTCCTTCCTCTCTCTCTAACATCAATAACAACATATTAAAAATAAATAAAATAAAAGGTAGAGGATGCAGGCTCAGACATACCCTTTCTGTTCTTTGCGACTATCTGCCTTTTCCTTTTCACTGCAAAGTCAGTCCTCTGAGGACTACTGAACTAAGCTATACAGGACTCCGAGGCAATAGGAGTTACTGTTTGGGGGAGAAAGAGACTATATGCACTTTAGGACACATCCCATAGCAAAATATATATATATATATATATATATATATATATATATATATATATATATAATTTTTTTAGCATGAATTATCAGTTAATTGGACATGAAGAAAGCAATTACTCCCTTGCAAACAGTCTTGCCTATCTCTTTCATACGTTTTCCAGGCCCAGGCCTTCCATTTGCTTGTTCAGTCCTCCATCCTGTTAGGATGGATGTGCGGTACCCACAAAACAACCCTCTCTCAAGATCCTCAGGAGAAAGGCTAAAGGAGGGCTGGGAAAAGGGGACAGACACACCTTACAAAGTTGTAAACTGTATTATGACCAGGAGTGGGGAGGCTGGGGTGGGGGAGGGGCATCCTGAGCTCACCCTCGAAGGGCCACTGCATATCTATTTGCCCATCAGGCCTTTGGTCCCAAAACAACTCCTTCCGGCTCTCAGCAGAGGGAAGGCCCATTTTGCAATCAAGCTTATTAAAAATGCCTTGGAAGATTAAATCTAGAGCATTAGCCAGTTGGCAAGTCTCAAGTTAAACCCTAACCTTGGAGAGGAAAAAATTCTAATGTGACCTATTCATTTGGGAGCCATTAAGGGGGGAGGGGGGGAATCCAGCTCTGTTGGGGTGCAAAGGGTGTTTCTGTCCCATCATTCAGACCACCAACATCCTCTCCATTCCAGACATGGGATCCATCCCATCACCAAACCCCACCATTCCACAACCACCAGTCCGGTGGGGACCCTTTCCTCCAGTAGTCCAACGCCTAAAGCCAGTCCCAATCACCCTTTCAAATTCCCGTACCCTCACCCAGGCTCTCCCCGTTCCCTGCCCTCTGGGCTGGCAAGTGAAGGACGCAAATTGGGCCTCCAGCTTGGCAAAAACCAAAGTTGGCTGGAGGCATCTGCCCCTCCTCCCCACTCCTGGCCTGCCTATTGCTTGTGTAAAAAAACCACCACCACACTGAATCAGGAGATGTTTTGAATATGGACACACAACAGGGAAGATAAACACACATGCCCAGACAGTCCCCGGAGATCAATGCATGCTCCTACCCCATCATTCCCACAGTCTGCCCTCCACGGCCCTTCTTTTGCAACCTTTTATCAAAATGCAGCACCCTCCCTCCCAGTCTTGCCCTAAAGTGTGGAATATTGGCAAACCTACCTGTCTATACTCTGGGGCAACCTTACACTCATGGTTTCTCGGTGTCTCCACGGTTCCAGAATCTTGCAGGACTGATGTCTTGATCAGGACTGAATCCTTGCAATTTTTAAGAAAGATGAGAGGGAGGGCCTCCCAACTTGAAGACGGAATTCTTCTTCTCCGGCTCTCAGGACCCTAGTAACTGAAGCTCCATTCTACTTTACCAGTGAACATGGTCTGCTTTCTCAGTCCCCTTTTCCCCTCCCCTTCTTAAAAAAAAAAAAAAAAGAAAGAAAAGAAAAGAAAAAGGAAAAACTATGACCTTAGAAACCAAAAACTCAACCACAAATCTCTAAAAGGTTAGCGCTATAGGCTAAAAAAGAAAAAAAGAAAAAAAAAGAAACACAAAGAATATGCCTTCAAAAATATCAGTCTTACTACAAAACACAGATAAAAACCATCCTTTTAATCCAGTTTTCCCAGCTGCCCTTCTGTGGGCAGGAGCTTCCAGCTCCAAGAGGGGGGAAATTCTGCGTTCTTCAATGCTTAAAACGACAACAGATTCATTTGAGAAAAGGGGAGGGGGGCGGGGGGGAAGGAAAATGAATAAATCCGAATTGGCACTTGGAAAAAAAAAAAAATACCTTCCAGCTGATTTGCACAGCAAAAAAAGAAAAAGAGAAAAAGGAAAAAAAAATTTAAACCATACAATAGTATGTAAACAAAAGCACTCCTTCCAAGTCCAGTATAACCCTGGAATCAAAATGATGAATTTCCTTTTTTTCCAGACAAAAAAAAAAAAAAAAAAGCTTTTACATGAAAGGTTCTGAAATTCTTAAAGTGAAGCCAATCGCACCAGGGGGAAAAATTTTTTTTTAAAAAAAAAAACACCTGAAATGCAATGCTTTTTACCTTTGCAGTGGTAGCAATAAACCACCAACCAGAAGGAAAAAAACCTTCTCTCCTTTTCCTTTTTTCCTTGAAACTTGCAGGGTCTTTTTTTTTTTTTTCCAGCTGCCCAGCCTGCTCCTCAGACCCAGCCCGGGTTCGGCCTCCTGGACGCCATGCCCTGCGCGGGGTGTGCGGCGCCGCCGGTCCGCGTCCAGGCTCCGGGCTGGTCCGCGGCCTCCGCCTCCATGAACCGGCCTCCGCGGCTCCCTCCGGCCGCCGCCTCCGCTCCCCGCGCCCGCCGGGCCCGCGCCCGGATCCTGCGGGCCGGGGCGATTCCCGCGGGTCTGGGTCCGGCGGGCTTTCCTCCCGGAGAAGCGGCCGCCGGCTTCTCCCGGCCTCGGCGCGCAGCCGGCGGCGGCCTCCGGCCCCGCTCGCCCCGCGCCGCCCGCCGCGCTCGGCCTGGGCGCCGCGGCTCCCGCTCGGCTGCGGCCGGGAAGGCGGCGGCGGCGGCGGCGGCAGGAGGCGTCCGGCTCGGGTGGGCGTCCGGCTCCCGGCGTTGCGGCTGCGCTCCCTCAGCCTCGCCTCCTTCCGGGCCCCTTCCCCGCGGGCTCGGCGCAGGCCCAGCCGGCCGCCCCCTCCGCGCCCTCCGGCCCGCAGCCTTTCTCCTTCCCTCGCTCCGGCGGGGGCGGGGCCGCAGGCTCCTCCTCCTCCGCCTCCCCCTCCTCCTCCGCCTCCTCCGCGCCGCGCGGCCGCCGGCCTGGCCCCCGGCGCCGCGGCCGGACCCGGCTCGGCCCGCCGACCGCCCGCCGTTCCCTCCGCGGGGCCTGCGGCCGCGGCTACCGCGCGCCCCGCCGCCCGCCGCTGGGCCGGCCCCTGCGCGCTCTGCCCGGCGACCCCGCGCCCGCGCCCGCACTCGCCCCTCCGCGGCCCACGGTGGCCGGCGCGGCCTAGCGGGTCCCGGTGTCACGGCTTCCGACGCTTCGCCCCGTCCGCTCCGCCCCGCCGGCGACCCCGGCTCCGACCCCGCCGCCTTCACCGCCGCGCCGCCCTCTCCCGCGGCCGAGGTGCCCCCTTTCCTGCCCTGCGCCCGAGACCCGACCTGTGTGCCGCCCCCGCTGGGCCCAGGCTCACTCCCCACGGTCCCGGTCCCGCCTCTGCGTCCCTCAGCATCACCCTGCGCTCTCACCGCCACTGCTCACCCGTCTCCACCTCTATTTTCATCTTATTTTTCAAAAATCTATCACGGCCCGAAGCTGGTTTGGTTCGGTGGACAGAGCATCGGCCTGCGGAGGGAAGGGTCCCGGGTTAGATTTTGATCAAGGGCACAGGCCCCGGTTGTGGGTTTGGGCCCCAGTAGGGGGCATGCAGGAGGCAACCAATCAATGACTCTCATCATTGATGTTTCTATCTCTCCCTCTCCCTTCCACTCTGGAATAAGTAAAAGTATATATATATTTTTTTAAACTTGTCTCACCTCCTTCCTGGAAGTCAGGAGCTCTTTGTTTCCTCCCATTTTGGGGGCCCTCCCCACGTCTAACAGCCAGCGGCTTTGGGGAAAGAGACCTTCACTTGGTTGATTTGGGGGGAGCGGGAGGGCACTTGCGGGAGGCAGCCTACCTATCTTACACTCTCATAGCCATTTCTCTCTTCTCCCTTTCTCTCTCTAAAATCAATAAACTATCCTATATAATAAAAGGCTAATATGCAAATAGACCAAAGAGCAGAACAACCGGAACAACCAAACAACTGGTTGCTATGACATGCACTGACCACCAGGGAGCATGTTCGGAACATGGCAGGCTTGGCTTAGGTGGGATGGTGGAGCAAGTGAGCATGAGTGCCAGATTCGCCCCTGTGCCTACCACAGCCTGGAGGCCCACGGTCCTTTTCAAGGTGCACGAATTTGTGCACTGGGCCCCTGGTTGTAAAATAAAAACGTGTCTCTCCTTTATGCTCAATATCTCTTTTGAGGCCCTTCTCCAGGAGATAACCAATGAATTTCTGTAGAACCGAGATTTTCATGGTCATTCTCCCTGTCTTGCCTAAGACCTGTAAAGTTTGTAGCAATTAATAGGCTTAATTTTGTCCAGTGGATGAGCAAGCATTATGAAGAAAATGAATATCTGTGCATGGCATTTCCACTGGTTCCTGGGGAAATTGCACGAGACAGATGGCTTCTAAATAATTTAAAATATATATATTTTATTGATTTTGTACAGAGAGAAAGAGAGAGGGATAGAGAGTTAGAAACATCGATGAGAGAATCATCGATCAGCTGCCTCTTGCACACCCCCCCCCCCACTGGGGATGTGCCCACAACCAAGGCACATGCCCTTGACCGGAATCAAACCCGGAACCCTCAGTCCACGGGCGGACCCTCTATCCACTGAGCCAAACCGGTTTCAGTGACAGATGGCTTCTAAAGTGGTGACCCAGAAAATGTGCTTGGTCAGTCTGTATGTTAAAGATTAGTGTTAATAAAGCTAGTTGCTAGGCCGGGACCGGTTTGGCTCAGTGGATAGAGGGTCCTGGGTTTGATTCCGGTCAAGGGCATGTGCCTTGGTTGTGGGCACATTCATTTGTGAAGAATTCTGTGGCAAAAAAAAAAAAAGTTAAAAGGACTATGTTAATTCAAAATCACTTCTTAACATTTATCCTGATTTTCCTGCCCAGCCTGTGGACTGAAGGGTCCCGGGTTCGATTCCGGGCAGGGGCATGTGCCTTGGTTGCGGGCACATCCACAGTGGGGGTGTGCGGGAGGCAGCTGATCGATGATTCTCTCTCATCGATGTTTCTAATTCTCTATCCCTCTCTCTTCCTCTCTGTGAAAAATCAATAAAATATTAAAAAAATAATAAAGCTAGTTGCTTTTACTATAGTTAAATACAATTGTAAATGCATTCTTAAATACTTTCCTCAAGAACATGAGTGCATTTCTTCGTATACTCTGCAGCCTAGGGGATGGGATGGCTTTAGCAGGATAGAGTTCTCTGATGTTAGCTGGCTATGTAAGCAAATTGCAAGTCTCAAAGTAAGGAAAAAGGAAGATTATATTGTCCCCATCACAGACTACGTGGGTAGGAATTTCGGAGCAGCTATTGGCTAATGGGAAGAGCACTAGACAAGGAGTCCAAAGAACTGAGTGCATTTGTTTTGGGCTGTATACTTTCCTAGCTTTGTTACCTAAGGATTCATTAAGGTTAAGCCTGGCCTTTGTCAACTATAGTCCTGGGCAGGAAAATCAGGATAAATGTTAAGAAGTGATTTTGAATTAACATAGTCCTTTTAACTTTTTTTTTTTTTTGCCACAGAATTCTTCACAAATGAATCTTTTTCTCTGCCCAACATCCTGTGGTAAGACATTAGTCCTTATGGTCATTAGTTGTTAAGTTCAGGAATCAATGGCAAAGAAGAATCTTAGGTGATTTTCATGAAATCCCATTAGTTGATGGAATGCATATCTCCTCATTTTTAAGTGTGAGAAGCAAAAGAAAAAACAGGTATGGTCAACTTCTATTTACTGAGACAGATTCTAGAAGCTGCATAGTTAACTGAGTGGCTGAGGAACAGCAGTGGGGTACTGGAATGGTTCACATTGTGAATTCTAGGGAAGGAACTTCTCACGCATGGGTAAATATCCCCAGTCCCAAACACGTGTATTTTATAGAAAAACGGACTTCAGGTTGCAGTTATTTAGTCATTCTCCTGGCATGCGATTGCAGCTCACCAGCCACATGCGGCTCTTTGGCCCCTTGAGTGTGGCTCTTCCACAAAATACCACGTCTGGGCGTGCATGTACAGTGCGATTGAAACTTCATGGCCCATGCGCAGAAGTCGGTTTTCAGCTCTCAAAAGAAATTTCAATGATTATACTGTTGATATTTGGCTCTGTTAACTATGCAGCTTCCTTGGTTGCTTTGAGAATTTTTGTCATTAATTATTTTTAAAATATATTTTATTGAATTTTTACAGAGAAGAAGGAAGAGGGATAGAGAGTTAGAATCATTAATGAGAGAGAAACATGGATCAGCTGCCTCCTGCATGCCCCCTACTAAAGATGTGCCCCCAACCAAGGTATATGGCCTTGACTGGAATTGAACCTGGGACCTTTCAGCCCGCAGGACGATGCTCTATCCACTGAACCAAACTGGTTAAGGCTGTC